AAAATTTAAGAAACATACTGGCTAATTCCAAACAATCCTGCATTTGGATTACCACCTCGATATCACTTGGGTTGGATTAAAAGATTTCACTGTCAATGAAGTTCCACTTTTGTCTTATTAATTAGGTGCATCAACTGGTTTTCATCTGGTCACAATTCACACTGCTGTTTAAATAGGTCTTCTCAAGTCAATGCATCCGAATATAAGGTAAACTAGATGGAAAAACAGTTCATATGTCTGAGTAATTAGACTATAAAATTACCTTGTTCCGTTAACTTATCTGTTATTGTTGTGATGACTATCAAAGTTGATAGCAAGCCAATATTAAAATTAAACTTGGTATGATATTTCGTGGGACGAGCTAATGTCATATGAGCCCCTTGTTATCACATTACTGAAAGTCAATAAACCTAAAATGTAAAAACAAACTGATATGCAAGCGATTGTCGCTTCCTACATAATCAACAGACCAGAGGTGTTTTCTTGAACGCTGTTGTTTACTTTTGTACAGATGATTGCCTGAACTGGAACTCATAAATTGTACAACCAAATGCTGACTTGTTTTTTTACTATATGCATGAATTTAATCTAGTTTAGCTCAGATTCATGTATAGCTTACGTTTTTAAGATAATGAATATTTCTTAATTTTCACTAGTGCTACAATTTGTTCTAACTTTTGATAAGTTTCGTCTTGAATTTGAAAGTTACATTATGAAACTTTGAACACAAGGTTGATTGACAAACATTATTATTTTCCAGCTGAGCGTCTGCTGTGAATATAATTCTCCAGTTGCCGACGAAATCAGGCCTAAAGATTTTCAGCGTCGATGTCAGCCTATCACTATTCTGTCAATTGTAAGTAATCCGATAACCATTTTTTATAGAGAAATGTTTTTTTTTCTCAATAAGTATGATAAGGTCAAATTATAATACATTTAATAACAGCACCGGAAGATTGTGCTCTTTAGTAAATACTGGAGGAAATTTTCACTACTATTTAGGATATCTCTAGAAAGGAAGGAAATTTTATTCCCTTTTGAATTAGGTACTTGAAGCTTTCCATTGATGTTTAGGACTACGATTGACCAGTCTCTTATTAACATATTTGCATCCTGTACGGATTTTCTCGATATTGTCCGGAGTAAACGTCAACTCTGGGATCCAGGTACATCCAGCTAGCGAATCACAAACAGGACGAAACGTGAGTCCTGGATTCCATTGCTAGCCACTATCATATCATCTTGTATCGAAGCTTTGTTACATATTATTAGTTTAATCGGTAACAGATGATCTGTATCGCTCAATGGAAATTACTGAGCAGTGTGGAATAATTCAAACATAGGCGACCTAGACTTAGCACCTATGGAATAACTCACTTATTTCTTAAGTGCTGCATTATGATAGTGATTAGGAAGAAAACGAACGCTTAAAATACCGAGCTCAGAGAGAATACAACTAACTAGAAATGAAGTATACCAATATAATTATTTATTTTACTGAGATTATTTACTACTTACTTACGCCTGTTACCCCTCGTCGAGGAGCATAGGCCGCTCACCAGCATTCTCCATCCAACTCTGTCCTCAACAATCCTTTCCAGTTCTTTCCAGTTAACATTCAGCCTTTTCATATTTGCTTCTATTTCCAAGCGTAAGGTGTTCTTTGGCCTTCCTCTTTTCCGCTTCCCTTCGGGATTCCAAGTTAGGGTTTGCCTTGTGATGCACATTGGTGATTTCCCCAATGTATGTCTGATCAACTTCCAACGTATTTTCCTAATTTTCTCTTCATCTGGAAGCTGGTTTGTCCTCTCCCATTAAACGTTGTTGCTGATAGTATCCGGCCAGTGAATGTTGAGTATTTTGCATAGACAACTGTTTATAAATACTTGTACCTTCTTGACGATGGCCGTAGTAGATCTCCACGTTTCAGCTCCGTACAGTAAAACTGACTGTCTTGACGTTCGTATTGCAAATTCTAACTTTGAAATTGGTTGAGAGTTGTTTTGAGTTCCATATGTTCTTCAATTGTAGAAATGCGGTTCTTGCTTTGCCAATCCTCGCCTTTACATCTGCATCCGATCCTCCTTGTTTATCAACGATGCTCCCATTTTACTGAGATATTTCTAATTAATTCAATCATATACACTGGATATGTAGTGAACGAGAAAACAAGTAGGAACAATCGAATGTATTTGAACACGTAAATACAGAATCTCTTAGTAAAATCTGAGAACCATACAGTAATTACTTCATTTGCAAAATGTCAATCAATCATCATTGTTCTTTCATTTCCACACCAATCATTCTCTATTCTCATTCTCTTTTCTTCCATCTTCTTAACCTCCTGCTGCCAGGTATTTCACTTTCAATTGGTGATACATACTACTCATATCTGTCAATATCAGTAGTACATACCACAGATATAGTTACATCATCCAATCTTTTATTAAAATATCATTCTGTTAACAAATAGGCATTCTGTTATACATATTCTACTATGTTTATATATAGTTGAAATCATGAGTCAATTGAAGCTAGACCGCCATCGAAAACCTGGAAGCACTGGACAGCCGTTTCGTCCTATTGCTGGACTCCTCAGAAGCGTGCATTCACGATCCCGTCTTGCGAGATTCGAACCCAGGACCCACCAGTCTCGAGCCAGAGCACTTAACCGATAGACCACTGAGCCGGCATCCAATGATGTTAATGTCTAACTTCAACCAATCCACGAAGTTGAGCAACCATTTCACCAATGTCTTTAGTGAGTTGATATCTCCCAACTACTATTGTTATTGTATAAAGAATATGTGTTAGGATTAGGATAAATGCATACATTAAAGATGAATTATATTCTTCAATTTAGTTAATTATCATTAATTTTATTCAAATTTATATTTTTGGTACAATATAGAATTCCCAATGCAAAGAACTTCATCAGGTTTCCGTTTCTTACTTCTTCGTCACCCTGACGATAAATATTGAGTCATCACCAGATAGAAGTTAGAAGTCCAATTAATCGACATCGAAATAATGTACATTCTTTTCTCTTTATATTGCTAGCAACCACGATATCTCTGATTAGACCTTTTGTAACCTTTACAGCAAGAGGTTGTACACTGTTCAGAAACTCATCTTAATAGGTTATACGATTACTAGTCATAATGATGTATTAAAACAAACAAAATTAGATAAGTTGTTGAAATATCTAGATGACAGGAATAGTTAGCCCACATGTTTAAGCAGGCCACCAATGATTGATTTATTGATTTCATCTATAATGTACACATACATTAAATTATTGATTAATTGCCAATTCAATTCATTCAAATTTATTTATTGACCGAACATTTAAAATATTCTGTAAATTAGAATGATTATGAATGTCGTATTGATTAGTGATTAATGAATAAATCAGTTCGTTTTATTTAACAGTCTTATTTTCTTCTTTGTCTTTCAGTAAATGAGTCTAGTTTCTTTTCATTAAGTAGTAGATAACAGTTATTCTTCAATCATGATAAACAGTCATACCAGTAACATTCTTGTTTAAATATATATTCAATAGTTGGAACATTCATAACAGAATACACAATATTCAACAACAACAACAACAAAAATAAAAGAAACTCAACTTCAATGAGTATTTATACACTATTCATAAAAGATCTACTGTTGGAAATAATTCCAAGAAATTTCAATTAAGAATTTATGAAGAACCTTTGAAATCCTTCAATTCAAATTCAGATTAAGAATGTATAATAATTTCATTTCATTGAACTTGAAAAATAAAAAGAATAGAGTGAATATCAAGATTAGAATAGAATCTGTTTAACAGAAGACTTCGATATCCATAGTTTCATTCAAGAAAATAAAAAAAGTAATTAATTTCACTTGGTATTGATTGTTTGAATCTTCCCATTAATGTTTAGAACTGCAATTGATCAGTTTCTTATTTGCATATGTGCATCCTGTGCGGATTGCTTCGATATAGCCTTAATTCACAAGTATTATAAGCAGAGATGGATAGTGGCTAGCAGTGAAATCCAGGACACGCGTTTCATCCTACTCGGGACTCGTCAGCTGGATGTACCTATGTCTCAGAGTTGACGTTCACTCCGAGACTCGAAACCAGTACCATTCGCTTCAAACGTCATCACGTTATCAACTCAGCTACTGAATCCTGCTAGCCGCTTCCTTGTGCAATGGGGTGTTGTTTAAATTCACTTAGTATTGTTTGTTTAAATCTATAAAATACAGTTTATAGTAATTCATAATTTAATTAAATGTTCGTTTGTCTGTTTGTTTTCATTTCAGTTTAATATTCATTGTCTATTTTGTTAATAATTCTAAACTACCTTTGATACATTTACAATTTAGTCAGAAAAAATTTAGAAATGAACAATTTTCAATATTTGAACGAAGAATATTCTTTTCGATAAATTCTCTTCAGGTTCTACAATTATATATCCAAATTAATAATCCGAAAAATTGGCCAGGTTAAAGGCAAAGTACATAGTTTAAAGCATGTAAATTCTTTTTTTTTATCCATACAAACAATTTCTACGCAAATTAATTTGATTGGCACATTATATTACATATTACATATAAATAGAATTATTATTATTATCTATGTATATTGTTACATTTAGTTAGATTTACCTTTCTTTCTCTTTCTATCTCTCTCCCCCCTCTCTCTCTCTTTCAAGTCTAGATTTCTTTAGGTAATACGAATGAAATTGGAGATTGTTTCTAATTTACTACTACAGGTAACTTCTGTTATTTGTTGTTGCTGTTCAAATTATTCTTTCATTTTATTAACTAATTAGATAAAGTTTATCTCAATGCTTGTATTCTAGATACTTATACAATCTTAATGTTTGTTTGTATGTGTTAAAAGTGAGAGAGAGAGAGAGAGTGAGTGAGTGAAGTGATTAATTTTTGTTACAAACATACATATCGACAAACATTTCAAAACAAGTTAATTTACTTAAACCCCTTTATATTTCCAAGCTTTTTTTTATTTGTCGCACATATGTGGTAAACAGTTTTACTGTGTTATTTTTTGTTATGTGTAGCAGTAGGTTTGTTGTTTTATCTATCATCCGTTTGTCATGCTTAACGTAGGTATAGACACGTGCTACAAAGTTTCTATCCATATAAAGATAAGGAAGGTTAAAATGCATGTCACTGACATGTTCAATGCGTGAAAGGGGGGAATATATATATATATATATTTATAGGATAGAAAACAAATTCATTGGGTATTATGTATATGTATGTAAGTGTTGATACCTAAATCTGTGAGCAATTGAAGCGAATATGAAATGCAATAATATAGATAATTTATTAAGATCTTTACATTCGAAACAAATCGTTATATATTCTTACAATGTAATCGTTTCAATCATATCTATACACCACCATCACTTATCAACATATACTTTCTAAGAGGTTAGCATTAACAAAACTACATAATTCCGTTAATTGTATCTGATGTGTTTCACGTTAGTTGGCGGCAGACGTCAAAATCACTGAGATACATATATTCCTCCTATTTTTTTTCTTCGAAAAAAAGACGAAGAGTAGCAATTTGTTGCACAATGAATGATTACATTTACACGTTACCTATTACCCAACCATTTAAAAATATTAATAATAATAATGATAATTTTTATTCGACTGCATTTACAACAACTATCGCTCCTACTACTAGTACTAATACTAGTCCTACTGGAACAATAACAGTCAATAAAACCGTACTTTGTAATGATGTATCAAATGATCAAAAGGATTATTGTTATAATTATACAACGGAACCACAACAGTTTGAATCAATACCTTTATCACTGTTCAATATTCAAAAACAAAATGATCCAATTGTCAATAATGAATACTATGTATCTGATGGAAATTTGCTAAACAATAATAACCATAGTGATTATCATAATATATTACCAACACAATCATATCCTTTTTATCCAGTAAAGTATAATGAATTGACCAAAGATGTGTATCATTCAATACAGACCAGTTCTTTTAATAAGAATGATTTAGATATTCAAGCACAATCAAATTATATGAATGATAATATCAATCATAATAATAATAATGATAATAATAATAATCCCATACAGTTACCAACTACTGATACTTATGAATATCAACAACAGGTAACTCCTATCATAAATGAACAATATTTATATACTACTAATATATTAGATAAATTTATAACAAAAAATGATTGGAATCAACAAACTATAATTACAGAATCATCTAATCTAATAAAATGTAAAACACAAAATTCTTTATGTCATACACCAGATTCTAAAAATTCAACAGGATTTATTAGTTTAAATGAGTAAGTTTAAGTAGTATCTTTCTGTTTCTTTCTTTTTTCTCTCTCTTTTTTCTTTCTTATTTAAGATGTTTATGAACTAGATTTCAGTTTTAAATAGGAATAATATATATTTGTAAAATCTAAGCGAATGAATTTGAAGTAAATTTAACGTTTCACCTGGCAATCTAGTTCAAGCTTCTTCAAGGAATTACATAATCAGACATCAAAATTATCGAATATAAATAGGTACATAGTTCTACGGTTCATTGTATACTGAATAGATCATCCAATCAACGTTAAAAATGTCTAAACTAGGTATCTGTATTAATGTGTGTAAGAGACTTGTTTGATTATATTTCCTTGAAAAAGCTTAGACCAAATTGCTAGGCGGAACGTTGGATTTACTTCAAATTCATTCGCTGAGATTTCACTAATATATTATTCTTATTTAATGTCTTACATCAACTCGGCGCCCAAATAGCGGGAAACTATTCGCTCTAGTTTAAACGAAAGTTCTTAGAGATTTATGTTTTGTTTTAACAAATGTAATGTATTCTATTGTTTTATAAATAAGTTTAGTAGTAGAATAAGATCATTGTTATATATATATAACTAAACTCGGTATTTATTAAAAATTAATGGATTTCAACCAGTTGAAGATAATATTAGGAAATAGTTTAAATCAAAATATTTCCTTTACATTATGAAGTTGATTCATTATACTTTATAGGAAATATATACATCAAGACTCAGTAGCTAGGTGGATAACATGATGGCGTTTGAAGCGAACGTTAGTGGGTTCGAGTCGTAGAATGAACACCAACTCTGAGATACAGGTACATTAAGCTGACGAATCCCAAATAGAACGAAACGTGTGTCCTGGATTTCACTGCTAGCCATTATTTACCCATCTTTGTTTATAAAGCATATGACTTCAGTCAATATCGAGGCAATCCACACAGAATGCATATATGCAAATAAGAGATTGATCAATTTCAATACTAAACAATAATGGGAAAATACAAGCAAACAACAACAACAAGTGAATTTAAAGGAAATACTTATGAATGTAATAACTTTTAGCTACATGGTCAATGAGTAAAATTATCCATTTTTAAACTCTAAATAAACTCGAAGTTAATGTTATCATTTACATCATGAAAAAGTCTCATTTAATTCACAGATTAGCAAAACATAATGGTATAAAGATGATCCTATCAATGAAGAGTAATATCAAAACGTATTGAAATAGACGTTGAATTATCATTTCGTTATAAAATATTTAAAAAACAAACAGCAGTTTGTTCATTAGTATGTATGTAGTCACGCTAAGCTACTGGTGAAAACTCCTTCACCTGCAACATGTCTAAACTTCACCAGTCACGATTTATCACTTTAAATTCAAAAATACCTTTCTGTCTACTTTTAAATATGATTCTCTTCATTAATTATAATGGAATAACATAAATTATAAAATTAGTCCTACTTGTTTTCTAATGTTTAAGTTACATAAGTAACCTAGTCTCTAACATTTCAAAGTTAAGATTATTAGGGTCAAACTTTGTATTGTGAAAGTCGATCAATGCAAATCGGCTATGACTAAAGTTATCATGGAATTCGAAAATAACAACTACTAGAGAACGTCGAAATCTTAGTGAATAACCGAATGGAGTTTTAAATACATATATTTTATGCAATCGCTGATCAGAACAGACAATCAGAAACGGAGCGAAAGAAGCTAAACGGATTGGAGAAGGCATGTTAGCCAACTCGATTTACCCAAACATGAATCGATAAACATGATGAGTGGGGTAAGTAATTAGCACACATACAATCATATAAAATAACAGTCAGGGTTAATAAACGATTAAACGACAGGGTAAAGATGTGGCTTGAGAACAATGAATAGATGGTCTGTCTAGAGGCTAGAGTAACCCATATGTGCTTGACATATTACCAGCCCCTACAAATAATGTACAGAATTTGAATAGATCTTTGAAAATCTTCTGTCTCTAAATACATATTTCTAGTTTCCAAATAATCACACAAATAATTGTTTTTGAACAGGAATAATCATTTAGAACATCAACGATTACCTCATCTAACCTCCGATCTGGATTGTCATATTCCTAACTTAAGTGACTATTCTATAATATCAAAAAATGATGAGGTGAACACTTCTCAAACGAAATCGACTTATCATTTACCAACGGAACTCAACAGAAAACGTAAATCCTCCAATCATATACCACTTGAAAAATCAATGAGTCTATTCCACGATCAACACTCATCTTTATCCAAATATCATCATACACTTAAAACAAATAGACCAACACACAAGTTTACTTATCATTCTACTAATACTTATAATGCTAATGGTAATTATACTACTTGCAATAATGTTACTCGTCATTTAAAATCCTTACAAAATAAACACATCACTCCTGATAATACTTGTTGTCATACATATGATTCATATATACATAATGAAAATTTATTACAATCATTTAACAATAAAACTAGTTCAAAAGTAAAAAATCAAACAATCATACCATCATCTTCATCATCATCTAATAGTATTCTATCACGTTCACCATATAAATGTCGTAAATGTAAAGGACATGGTATGTCTGAACCAGTTAGACAACATAAACGTAATTGTCCATATCGTGATTGTACATGTGATATGTGTTATTTAGTTGAAAAAGGTCGTCGTATTGTAGCTCAACAAATTGCATTATTTCGTGATCAAAAAAATCATAATATTCAAAAATTATCATATCAAAAAGATCGTTCTATAAAGAATATAATAATTAAAGAATCATTAAATAATATAAATGAAGATAATGGACCACATTGTCGTCGATGTCGTAATCATGGACATAATATTTCATGGAAAGGTCATAAAAAAACATGTCCATATAAAGAATGTTATTGTGATCAATGTATTTTAATATCATTACGTAAATCAAATGAAAAAGATCTAAGTAAGTTAATATAATACATTTGTATATTTATTTATTTGAACACACAAATATTGGTACAAAGGGGCACCAGATAAATATGCGCCTCACAAATCTCATTCGATTTGTGTGAGGGCTGTGATACTGTCCAAGCGCTCAAACCGAAGCAGGTGGTTTTCTTAGGGGGCCACACCCGGAGCCTTTGACCTAAAGATCCGATCCACAAGGCAGTGGAGCATCGTAAGGAGATGCATTCCCATGATAGCCAGTGACCAACAGCAGGTTGATACGCCATTCGCTCCATCAGGATCCTGGAGCCCATGTGCACCATTAGTTTGTAATGAGGGTTTTCCAACTGCCCTAGGTGGACTCGCCTTGTCCACCAACCCGGTCAAAGCGCCGGACATTCGCTTTTCGTCCTCTCAATTTCGTAAACAACACCCCAGCTACGAGAAGGCAGTGAGTAGGATTTCCCTGGCAGAGGCTATATATTCGCGTGAGAGCATTTGGAGAGGGAGAGCGGACTCTCCTCACTCTCGACCGTATTAGGGCACTCGTATATTTAATTATTTTGCAAAATAATAATAATTCATATGAATGGCATTTGTAGTCATATTAAATCTAGATAATTCTTTTATAAAGTTTGATAAGATATAAAATTTCGTTAGTATTTTGTTTAAGAGTCAATTTGAAGTAAAGAACATATCAAGAATAATTCTACAATCTTCTAGTAACAACTACCGAATATTTTCTAATTCTGTCTTATGTTTGGTTATATTTGTTGATTAGCTAAGAAAAAAATTGAGATAATCTATTTAACATCTAGATACCTTATTCTTCCTTTATTATAAATATTCTGAATAATGATTTAGATGTTAATCAGATATTAGACATTACCATACCTAATAGATTCTCAAATACGACACTGAGAACATCAACCCTGTCACACTTAATGGAGAAACTCTGAAAGGGGTGGAAACATTCACGTACCTGAGAAGCAACATTGATGATCAAGGAGGATCTGATGCAGATTTAAAGGCGAGGATTGGAAAATCAAGGACCGCATTTCTGCAATTGAAGAACGTATGGAACTCAGAACAACTGTCAACTAACTTCAGAGTGAGAATCTTCATTACGAACGTCAAGACAGTCAGTTTTACTGTACGGAGCTGAAACGTATAGAACTACTACATCCATCGTCAAGAAGGTACAAGTATTTATAAACAGTTGTCTATGCAAAATACTCAACATTCACTGGCCGGATACTATCAGCAACAACGTTTAATGGGAGAGGACAAACCAGCTTCCAGCTGAAGAGGAAATTAAGAAAATACGTTGGAAGTTGATCAGACATACATTGGGGAAATCACCAATGTGCATCACAAGGCAAACCCTAACTTGGAATCCCGAAGGGAAGCGGAAAAGAGGAAGGCCAAAGAACACCTTACGCTTGGAAATAGAAGCAGATATGAAAAGGATGAATGTTAACTGGAAATAACTGGAAAGGATTGTTGAGGACAGAATTGGATGTAGAATGCTGGTGTGCGGTCTATGCTCCTCGACGAGGGGTAACAGGCGTAAGTAAGTAACCATACCTAATAGCTCTCAAGTGTTTTTGGGTAGAATGATGTGAAAATAAATTTAAATAATTTATACGGATCTTATTTTACATATATAGTCAATTGTAGGATAATATTTATACAAGATTTTTGTAAGAAAGATTGTCTCTAAAATGAATAAAATTATTATTTTGAAACAATGAAAACTGATCGGAAAATCTGTATTAACTAAATTGATCTCTATTAATTTTATAATTAAATTCATGAATCAATTAAAGCTAGACCACTATGAAAAGCCTGGAAGCACTGGACGGCCGTTTCGTTCTAGTATGGGGCTCCTCAGCAGTGCTCACCCACGATCCTGCCCGCAGGATTAGAACACAGAACCTATCGGTCTCGCACATGAATGCCTTACCTTTAAACCACTGATCCGGTATCCAATGGTGTTAATGTCCAACGTCAACCAATCTCTATTAAGTGATGAATTCAGTAATGATATAATGTTACCAGATAAAATATGACCTATTCTACATAAATGAATTTTTATTATAGACTGATGTCAGTTAGAGTAGCATTAAAAATCAGAAAATATTAGACGACTGTTTCATTCTAGGATTGGAACTAGTTATCAGTATAATGACATGTTTTTATAGCAAAGATAATTCCCATTACTGCTTATAATATCAGTTAGAAAATAATTGAAAAAACTAGAAATCTATGGACAATTGTCTCATCATATAGTGACACATTTCATCAATGTAACCAGTAACTTTTATTATGTGAATATCCTAAATGTAGTTTGAGACAACCAAATAAACAATTCATTTCAATTCATATTTATAACTCAACTTAAATTAATGCTTTGCGTGGACCAGTTGTATGTTTCCTAATATTTACGATAGCTATTATAAATCTAATTTCTATTTATACTACTTAAGTATGGGAATAATAGTAAGAGTATGCGAATTCAGTATTTTCAATAAATTACTATTTCAGTGTGTGTATTTGTACACTGAATTTATAGACAATTTAAATTGATGATCGGATTCGATCTATCAAGTTTTTATGTCTAAAATTGGGAAACATGAGTTCAAATCTCACAATATGCATTAGTTTCCAAGATTCCTGATAAGTCTTGATGATGAATGTTAAATTATATGAAATTAAGACTAACAGATTCTTGCAGATTGCCTTCAATAATTCTAACATCCTTGTTTGATTATATTAATATTCCGAAAGGGCTAGATTTGACTTTCTATTATTCACACCTGGCTCTCTTGCACAAATTCATCGAGTATACAATAACACATTCATTAAGTATTATGACTGTTGTCATAAACTTCGTTATAAAATTTAACTTAATTTATACACACTTTATTATCTGCAATAAAGACCCCAATAATAATGATAAAATCAAGATTTCGCTTGTGAATTGAACCAATCTGACAATTAAATAAAGGCTTGAGACAGTACTCTGCTTATTAACAAAAACAGTGGAAATACGGAACTTAGAACTAAAAAATATATACATTTATAGGCTGTATACGTTACAGATTGATCTCGGTTGCGGTATCATCGAAAATCAGGAAGAGATGGACAGGCGTTTTGTTTTAATATATAACTCCTTAGCGGCCCACACCCACGAACCCATCAGGGATAGAACCCGATAACTTTCGGCCTTATAGTGAACCTTTAACGATTAGGACCATTGGGTTAGGTCTGAATGTTATGATTTCAACTTCATATGTGGTTAACTCTTTCACCTAAGAATGAATAATTAAACATGAATTTTGTCTTCATTACTGGACTGATATGAAGAAAGAGAAGAACCAGTGAGAACCATTTGATATCAATCTATAATGTAAGCTAACTTTTTAAATTGAATGTTGTTCACAGGTACTCTATTTTATCAGCAATTGTAAGTGAACTCACTTTAGGATGGATTCCTTATGTTTCATTGATGTCTTGACTGCTAAATTCCTACTAGTTCTGGAGTAAAAGTAGCTTCTGTCAGTAGATGGCCATTGTGATGCATCGTAGATTGCTTAAATTTTAAAGTTAGAACTACAAAGTATAGATTAAACAGTTTAAAAGTTATATGTGCATAGAAATGATGGGTCCTTTTTTTATTTAATCTCGCATTAGACAGAAGATGCTTAATGCTGATAATTTCGCTGAAAACTAACTTCAAAATGAATCCGTCCTTCTTTTCATCCAATCGGAATATTATGATAAAGCTTTGACAGAAATGAAATAAATTCCGACTGCAGAAGCAAGAGTAAAATAAGGAAATTCCAAAAAAATTAAATTAAATAATTTACAGGACACTTGAGTGGAAACCACACTTTAAGTGTAAGAGTTAAAGATACTCGGTTGCTCAAACTGATATAAGTGAAGTGGAGTTCGAAACTGATACTTAAACTTTGAAAATTAAATCCGTTAACCCCTTAAGCCACCACTACAATTAGTTTCAAGTAGTTAATATGTATTCTGAACTCAAAAAACTATTTTTAGTTTGTTTTCGATACATATGTTGTCCCCGAAATTAGTCCCGTTTGACTAATTCGTTTTCAATCTTTTCACTTACATACTCGATTTTTATAATTGAGGAGAAGTAACTCAAGAATTTATTGATAGTCAACCAGAGAATGGAGAAAAGAAAACATCAACAAAGAATACTTCGGCTAACTATGAGACAAATACATGTAGCTTTAATGAAAAATGTTACATTATTAATTCAAACTTCAGTTCAACCACTTCAGAAGATTATAATCACAATGCTTTATATAATCCATACTCTAATAACGATCCAGTCGTTTCTTTCGATGAAAATTGTAAAGCTCATGATTCATTTTACCCACCTTTAGTAAATAAAACTTGTGTAAATTCATTGATCCATCACTTAGTCACTTCTTCCAATACTACAACTTTGGATCCATTCTATACAACACATATCAGTAAGTGTGAAAATAAACAAATATGTTGCTCTTCAACTACATTTTCACATTTAAAATCTATAGAAAATCCTAATCTTGAGCCTTCAACCTATCGAGAAGCATTCAACAACATTACAAAATCATTTAATTTTTCAGAAAATACAAATTCTTTAAATTTTGACAAGAATGAATTCAATTCACAAAAGATACCTGACAAAACAGAGTTTATATTTCATAATAATCATAATTGTTTTTCATCATTTGATTGTCCTACTTCATTAATCTCATCAACAATTTCAACAAATAAGATTCATGAATCAGATCATAATACAAGTCAGTTAGTTGAATTGAATTCAACACAAACATTTTGTAATTCAAATATGAATACTGGATCATCATTAATAAGAACAAAATATGATACAATTGTCAATCCTAACATTTCATTTAAAACAAACTATTTAAATGATTTTGAAGTTAACAGTACAAATCATAATTCAGAACAATTCTTAAGTAATCAATCAATTGAAATAAATAAATCTATGTTAGAAAATAAATACCATGAAAGTTACATAACAGATTGTTCACAGGATGTTTCTATGGATTGTATAAATTCAAATAATGATCATTTTAAGAATTTAGATCAACAATTTAGATCACAATTTAATAAAGAATACATCAATAGTAACTTTTATCATTTACAAGGATATCAAAAACCAAACTCTAGTTCTTTAATATCATCCTCTACTCTTAAAAATACAATTACAGACTATATATATCATTCGGAAGAGAAAAATACAATTTATCCTACAGATTATTTATCACATTCAGTAAATCTTAATGAAGATAAACTTATTCGACCAACAACAAATCATGCTGCTGCTTTAGCTGCTGCTGCAGCTGCAGCTGTTGCATTTCATCATGAAGTAGTCAGTCAACAAAAACATCAAGAAGAATATACTCAACATATTGAAGATATTAAACAAGTATATAAACAATCAGATGTTCAATTAGAACAACAAAATCTATTCAATACTAATAATATTACTACTATCACTACTACTACTACTACTACTACTACTACTACTGATACTATCAGTAATATGAATAACAATCATAATATAAATTCTATGAAAGATAGATTAAATATGATCCAAGAATCAATAAATACACCATTAAATTTTTTAAATATGTCTAATATGTTAAATGATGAAAAACAAAATTATTCCAATGATCATCTAATGATTACATCACCATTATTACAATCAATTCAAACAAATTATAAACCAAAAATTGTAAAATCTAATGAAAATTCATTAAAAAATTCATTAAATTTATCGAATAATAATAATAATATAAAAAATAATAATCAATATAATCATAACCTTGATCTATTCACTCATTATTCATTAGATTCAAATAAACAACAACAACAACCACCACCACAGCAACAACCACAGAAACCCCAGCAACAACAACAACAATATTTAACTAAAGATACATTAAATATTCATAATTATAATACTATAAAATATAATAATATTACTGATTATATTCAATATAATTCTAATATAAAATTAAATCATGAAATTAATAAATTACAAATTATACATTTAACTAATGCAATTATATTACCATCAAAACAATCATCTTTAAAACAAATACCATATGAATATAATAATAATAATACCAATATCAATACTACTACTACTACTAATAGTAATAATAATGATAATGATACATGGAATTCATTACCAAATGAATGTAATAATCTTTTTAAAAAATTTGATGTATCATCTCATGTATTTAAGCATATAGGATTATAAGTAAACAGTAATGATTCAAATATATATATATATAGAGAGAGAGAGCATAATATTATTTTTAATAAATAGTAAGTTAAATTTATAGTATTTAAGTTGGATAGTTTTTAATTGTAAAGATTTTATTATCTTTCTAAATAAAATTATCAAAAACTATTATAAATTATTTGACTAAATTATCAGTTCTGGTACGGCTGAGAGTACCTTTCGAAGTGCTTTCATATGGCCATGAGTATACAGTCATTGTCAAAGAAGTTATGCTAACTGTCTTCTCGTACCAGAGATGTTCTTTGCAAAATTTACGGGACGTAAAGTGAATGTCTGGTGCTTTAACGGGTTGGAAAATCCTTATTCTAAACCAATGGTGCACATGGGTTCTAAGATCCAGAAGAAACAAATGGTGTATGAAACTATTGTCGATCACCGGCTATCATGGGGCTGCATCTCCTGACAGTACTCCACTGCCTTATGGATTAAACATTTAGGTCAAGGGCTCAAACAGCTGCCCTCTAAGTAAACCACCTGCTTCAGTTTAGGAGCTCGGGTAGTAACTAAGTCATCACACAAACCAAATTATGAAGTGTGGAGCATTTATATTCGGTGCCTCCTTGTACTAATATTTATATGTTTGAATAAATGAATAAATGTATCATTTATTTCAATGATCTAGTAATCAAATCAACAGCCTACTCACACTTTTATAACTATGTGTACGTTGTTAAAATTTGGATTGGTTGTAGTTAGACATAAACACCATCGCATGCCTGCCAGCTCAGTGGTCTAGAGGTCAAGTGCTCTGGCGCGAGACTGGTAGGTCTTGGGTTCGAATCTCGTGAGACGAGGTCGTGGATGCGCACTTCTGAGGATTCCCGCAATAGGACGAAACGGCCGTCCAGTGCTTCCAGGTTTTCGATGGTGGTCTAGCTTCAAGTGACTCACGCTTTCAACTAAGAAAAATAATCCTAATATCAATGAGAAATAATAATATCAAAAAGTGAAAGAAAATATTTTCTACTTTGTTTGAAATTTATTTATTTGATTTAATAATTTGTATTGATCTATCCGACTTAGAATTTTTAGTATACGACTGTTTCCAGTTGTTGTTGATGGTTTTCTTTTTGAGTATTCCGAAATTTTTGTGATGAAAAGGTGATATCTTTGATTTAATCATAAGATATAAAACAAATTTTACTGATCTAGACCATCTCAGAAATCCTGGAATCACTGGACATCAATTTCGTCCTAGTACGGGATCGTAAATGCACACGGCTCAAGAGTCCCATACTAGGACGAACCGGCCATTTTATGTTTCCAGGTTTTCCACGGTGGCCTAGCTTTAATTGACTAATGAAACCAACTATTAAATTACTACAATCTACACAAAACACTCTTTCTGATATTTTACTGAGTTGAAATTTTTGGACAGTTAAAACAATTTTTCATATTAAAAAATACATATAAAATATGATAACTTTCTATTCATATGATTGAATCCATAGATGCATTGTGATGAAATACTTTTTTTCGAGTATCTGGTCCATTTCTTGTCTTTACGCAGGGTTTTCCTAAAGATTTATTCATTATCTAAGTAAGTTTAGACATCAGTCTTATTGATAGATACTTAAATATCATAACTATTAAGCCACTACATCACATATCATAGTCTGCTACACTTTATTTGCGTTGGTATATACTATTGAAGAGTAACAAGTAATACATAGGACCAAGCCTGTACACTTTATCCAAATGTCTTTATCTAAAATAACCCTTGATTTCTTCGTCTTTTCATCAAGGTTGAGATCTTCATAATTCAGTGTAATTAGAATATGACTGATATTATGCAAGGGCTAAGAAACCTTAAAGCAAATTCAGTATACTTGGTTTTTATGTAATTCTTGAAAGTAATTAATATAATACTTATGAATACTTAAAATATAGTTATTTCTGATCCCATGATACAAATCATGTCTTAATAATTATATAGATATCTCTGTAAAATCGTACTTAAAAAAATTACTTTCGAAATGAGAGGAGGAACTGGCCTATACTACTAAATATCAGTCGAAATACCTAAGTTTATCCTAAGATCGAGATAATCTTTTGTAAATGAAATTTTGAACGATAGCATAGATACGAGAATATGGAAAAGAAAAAGACAAGGGAAGACATAGACCGATAACCAAATAAACAAACAGTATGCATATTTACATTGTAAAATCAATCGTAAATGATTAATAATGGACAAACAGTAATCCAATACAATCCAGTTGCCAAGACTAGAAATAAATAGTGAAGTTACAATAGCATCATGACTACATTATTTAAAATCTTGGACAAAAAAAGATATCAACAACATATCCTGAAACCAAATTGTAACATCATATCGTGAAACAATAAGGCCAGTGGCTGTTTAATACCTCTTGATCATGATTATTTGGCCAGCATTCAGGACATAAATATGACACCTGTTATTATTATTATTATTATTATTATTATTATTATTATTATTATTATCGCCGTTACCAGTAGTATTAGTATTATCTAGTCATAGAAACAAGACTTGGCCCCCATAAAGCTATATGAATCAGTTACAATTCCATATCAACAAAAGTATGAACAATACACCACCATTAAAATAAACAAAAAATAAGTTAACATACAGAAACACAACATTGATACTAATTAATCCCTTAAACATATATCGGTAAAATCATTACAAAATAAGGAGTACACCAAAACAGAATAAGATTTCTTTTCACAATAAAGTAACTAGCTAACTAATTATTTGTCTTCTTTTTTATCTCCAATATAACTAATTATTATTATTTTTTTAATTTTCATTATTTGTACACAACAGCAAAATCATCCCATCATGAATTACCAATTATTAATTAAATATGTTATAATCAGAAGGGGGTTTTGTGGAGATTTTAGTAATTTTATGTGGTTGAAATCATGAGTCAATTGAAGATAGACCACCATGGGAAACCTGAAAACACTGGACGGCCGTTTCGTCCTAGTGTGGGACGGTATGGGTCATGGTTGCTCAATTTCGTGGATTGGTTGAAGTTAGACATTAATACCGTTAGATGCCGGCTCAGTGGTCTAGTGGTTAAGCGCTCGCGTGTGAGACTGTTAGGTCCTGAGTTCGAATCTCTCGAGTCGGAATCATGGATGCGCACTGCTGACGAGCCCCACAACAGGGCGAAACGGTCGCCCAGTGTTTCCAGGTTTTCCATGGTGGTCTAGCTTCAATTGACTCATGATTTCAACGGTATAAAATATGTTATTATTAGAAATTATATATCCTTTTAAAGTCTTACACTATTTATATATGATGCTCAGTGTTTTCAGTGTTTTACATCCACCTGTATTTACTTACTAACTTACTTACGCCTGTTACTCCTCGTGGAAGAGCATAGACCGCACACCAGCATTCATCAAATCGAATTATGAAAAATCAAATAATTAAAACAAAAAACACACAAATATTTTGTCCCATGAAAAGTACAAAATGAATTTCAGTATTAAAGACTATTGACTATTAAAGACATTTGACTTGAACTGTTAAAGTTACGAACAGGATAGACGACTGAAATGGATCCTTTTTATACTATAGTGTTCTTTAACCTAGATAGTTTAATTATGGAGCTTTTATGATTATTTTGGTCAACTTATGTGTTTTGATTGGGAGTTTAATCTATAACTATAGTTTGATGAGATCACTTTATCACAAAGTTAAAGGTTTGTTTGATCATGAAACTCAAGGATTAGTATGAAACTACAAATAAATGTCTTCATGAAAATGATTCAGTGAATTGTTAAAAATGCATTTTGTGATGAATAGTACATTAGAATTGAGGTTAATAAACCTGAGAAGAAGCATGCACTTAATAAATTCATAATCATAAATGATCGAACTGAAAGGAACACTGATTAAAGATTGTAAGCAACCATAAATAGTACATCTCATACATTGAAATTAGTTCTGTTTTATAAAACATATATATATATATATCCTGAGTGGATTGACTTGAGATTGCCATTGGTCAATTTAAAACAGTTGGTAAACAGTACAATTTTACTCTAAATAGATGTATAAAAGTCATATCCAACCATTTTCCATACGACCTATGATTATTATTCAATAGATTGAACTGAATGTTTTTATCTCCTTATATTATAAAAAGTTTCGTATTATGTACTATCTTCCCTAATACACCAGAACTATCATACCAATTACTTACTTACGCCTGTTACCCCCAATGGAGCATAGGCCGCCGATCAGTATTCTCCAACTCACTCTGTCCTGGGCCTTCCTTTCTAGTTCTATCCAACTTTTGTTCATTCTTCTCATGTCTCTCTCCATTTCTCGGTGTAATGTGTTCTCTGGTCTTCCTCTTCTCCTTTGACCTTCAGGATTCCATGTGAGGGCTTGGCTTGTGACGCAATTGGGTGATTTCCTCAATGTGTACCCTATCCACTTCCAGCGCCTCTTCCTGATTTCTTGTTCCGCTGGAATCTGGTTTGTTCTCTCCCATAGTAGGTTGTCGCTCATAGTGTCTGGTCAACGTATCTGAAGCATTTCGCGTAGACAATTGTTAATAAACACTTGTATCTTCTGGATTATATTTTTATAAATCATACTAATTACATGTAAAACGGTGTTACAGGCATTTTTTTATTTAAACCATATTATAATTTTATCATTCAAGAACTTCACTATTGTCTAATGACCAACTAATTTCATTAAAAATATGTTTCTCCCTTCGTGTAAATTAGAGCGAATAGTTTCACAGTATTTGAGCGCCGAGTTGATGTAAGACATTAATTTATGTTTCTCTTTTTTTTTAATTTTCAAATGATAAACCATATTAATTATGGTGGAATTAGCAAAAATCTAACTGAAGGGGTTTTATGGAGATTTTAGTAATTTTATAGTTGAATTCATTAGTCAATTGACATTAACACTGTTGGATGCCGGCTCAGTGGTCTAAAGCTTA